TATATATATATATATATATATATATATATATATATATGTATATATATTTAGAATTACAGATAAATAAATTGCCAAAATCTATTTTAGGCGCAAGTCTGCACGTTTTTCACCATCGATTCCTCATCAAGCTGCTCGCCGACCTCGAAACGCGCGAAACTCATAATCTCCGCTTCCACGTCGTCCAACAACTGCTGCACAGAGAGACTCGGATCGAGCAAAAATTCCTGATATATCATGCAGGTCTCCTCGTCTATGTTATTGTGTGGCTCATCCTCTCGTGGATTTCCAATTTTTTGTGGATCCATACCTGTAACATGTAATTCTCAGCTTCTTTTTTTCTTTTGTGTAGCAAATACGACTTACCGATGATGTGCTGACAAAGCTGCGTGCCCAGCATGTGATCGCTGTGCTTGCATTTGATGGCAACGAGAGCGCCATACTTGCCGAAAGACACCGGAATGGGGTTCATGGGTGCCGGATGCGTGCAGCCGAACAACGTCACATTCGGCAACGACACACTGATGGCTAGGGCGCGTCTCAACGTGATATTCTCGCCCAAGTTACCAATCGTCAGGGCAGAATGATCAGCGAGCGACTTGCCATCCGGAGCTGCCAGACTTTTGAGACTGTCTGTGTGGAAAATAGTCCGTTGTACTTCGGTCTGAACCTCCTGAGACTTTGTGTGATTCAATATTGCGGTGACTACGGTTTCTGCGAGATTGTGAAATTTCTTGTTGCGTGCCACGAAGTCGGTTTCGCAATTGATCTCTGCTACTGCAGCATGAGAACCGTCCACTGTCACCGCAATCAGACCCTGAGTAGTGTTGCGGCCCTGCAGTTTAGCCGCCTGAACCCAACCTTGCTGCTGTGCCTGTTCCTTCAGCCATGCTTCAGCCTGAAGCAAGGAAGAACTGAGAAATTCCATTTTAAGTTAATTGGAATTGCAGTCTGCATGCCTAACTGTTCCAACAAGTGTTTTACCTTGTCTACGTCATTTTCGTGCAACTCTAAGGCTTTCTTGCAGTTTGCAAAAGTATAGCCTGTCTTCTTGCGCAGTTTTGACAACAGAGACTTTTTGGTGGCCTGCCAGAGATAGTTGTTTGTGTGAATCAAGCGAAATATCTGAGCTGGCATCATCTGTAACATCACGCATATGTGAATACAAAAAATATCAACAAAAATATATCAACATTATAAATGACAAATTTGTACAACGAGCTTGTTAGCCCGTCTGTTAAGTAAATAAATATATAAAAAAACATTTATCGCAAAAATCTTTTACGGAAATCACAATATCACGATGCAACAATTTTGCAACTGCAATAATAATTAGGATGATGCAAGTAGCTCCTTCGGAAACATAACCTAAACTTTACGCGCAACATCCGACATAGTTTTTTCATTGAGAAAAAAAGGCGAGAAATGTGAATTACTTCTTCGGCGAGACTCGCGGAATTCGTTAATCTAGCTAAATCGATCAACCACGTTGCCTAGAAACTGCAATCAGAAGTTTGCAAGTTATCGCAGGTTAGCAAGCGCAGGTTTGACACACGTTAGATACACACGTGTCGCTTGAAACCGACTTGTCAATTGACTTCGGGATCAGTTAATCGAAATGCGAACGCAAAAATATTCGCAGGACATCGTTTCCGTTGCGCGATTTTGAAAATATATTGCAACGGTTTTGCGGTACAAAACACACTTACCTTGAGGGATCAGAGAATACAGCACACATACAGGTCCGTAGCAATTTCTTTACTAAAAGGCACTTGAGGGATGTCTTAACTGACATCAATTTTTGACTTTAATTTTATTAAAAATAATCACTAATTTATATTTATATATATATATATATATATATGTGTGTGTAATTTATATATAATTATTAAAACATTATTACATAGAGTACTTAAAAAAATGTTATACAAAAATAACTTTTTTTTTGGAGAAAGATAACACAAGGGCTGCCCTGACGAAAATAAGAAGCTTTACAGAGCGTTGATAACCGTTTAATGAGAGTTTTCTGAGAGTTTATACGCTTTCAAACTTTATAAGAATGCTTATATAACG